AATAAGACTCTGATAAGCACTTGTTAAACAGTTTTGAAAGTATAGACCACAGCTCCAGAGAACACTTCAGCAAGTCTATAACAGGTATATTGTCCAGACCACAAGCTGTAAAAGAGTCTAAGCAAGAAATCACTTTAGATACAGAAGCTAAAGTGATACGAATGTCAAGCAATGGATCAACCTGTGTGACAGCTATATCAGGTAGAACGCAACTAGTGGAATCATGAAATGGTATTGATGAAAAGTTCTTAGCAAACAGTTCAGCTTTGTCTTTAGATGAGGTGACAAAGTCTGAACCATACAAGAGAGGTGGAATAATAGATTTGCCTTTATTATTGATACTGTTAAAGATTCTCCAGAAGTCACAAGAGCCTAATTTTTGTGATGAAATACAAGATTTCATGACCTGAGAATAGCGGGCTTTGGTGTTAGACAAAACCTTTTTACAATGCTTTCTAGCAATAGTAAACAGACATCTGTTTTCTGGAGAATTGTTTTGCTGATAGATATTGAAGTAACGGTTTCTATTGGAAATAGCAGCAGCACAAAGTGAGGAAAACCATGGAGAAGAGCAAGGCTTGTCTCGGATTTGTTAAGGGCGAATAAAAGATTCCACGCCTAAATCTGAATCCACAAAATTATATAAGAAGCACATTTGTTAGCAGGAAGGCAAAAGATTTCTACTCAAGGGTCATCACAAAGAAAACCACAGAAAGAGTCCCAGTCAATTTTAAAGTAGTTGTATGATAGGGGGATTCTGATAATGAAAAAAGAGATAATAGTTTTAGAGAGATCAAATCACGATCAGAAGCACCTAAGGGTGAATGTGGAAAAACTGAGCACTGACTAGGATCAGAAACAAGACATAAGTCAAGTAGAGCAAGTAAATGATTTGGGTTGTCTAGAAAGCAAGTTGGAAAGTTGATTATTTGAGTTAGAGATTGAGAATAGCCAAAATTTGTGGACCTTAACGCCTGCAGAGTCACTAAAACTAGAGACAAGCCATTCAGCGTGATGAGTATTAAAATCACCAACAACAACGATACTCGCTGAAGGATAAAGAGAGAGGGCTTGGTCAATTTGATCAGAAATAACATACACATACACACTCGCAGAAAAAGAAAAGATTGCTGCCCCACTCTAAACTCTCAGTTGATGTAACAGTACTCTGCTGCAAGTCAGGCTATTTGTCAGTTGATGTATGTACTAAAGCCCACTCTGACGTCACACTGAAATAGCAGCAGGCTATTTCAGTGTGACGTCAGAGTGCTCATTAAACTAGCAATTTAAGTTATATGAACTTTAAAAAAAAAGTTTTACTAATATAAAAAAAAAAAAAAAAAAAAAAATTGAAATAGTATATTTTATAAAGCAAGTTTGCATATTCAACAATGCTTGATTCTCATGTTCCTATAACAATGGTTGATTCTCATGTTGATATTAAACTCAAGATTGAAATGTTCATCAAAATAATAACATAAACGTTAACAGGAATAAACTATAATTAGGATTAGAACAAATTAAAACCTTTTAAAAAACTTTGTGAAGAACTTAGTGTTTTATTATAAATAGTTTTGAAAATTTGATAAACAACTTTTTTTCAAAAAACAAAGTATTTTACTACTGCAATCAAAAAGTAAGGTGAAATTATTTATAAAATGTAAATTCTTTATTTATTCTTCCAAATTAATTTCATCTCCTTCAAAGTAATCCCGGTCCAATAAAATGCACTTTTTCCAACGCTTTTTCCAGTCCTCAAAACAGTCGGAAAAGTCTTAGCTCTGGTATAGCTTCAAGACCTTCTTCAATTCAGTTTTTAGCTACTCAATTATGTCAAAACGTGTCAAAACGACCTTGGTGTCTCGTTAAAAAATGATTATCATATATCTGCTTGTATTTCTAAAGCAATTAAAATTTAAAAGTCTTATCTGACACACATTTTCATTTTTTAAAGATTTGAAAATTGACTTTAGTTAATTTATTATTTGCTAGTATGCCATCATCTTAAATAGACATGTTATTTGGAATCCATTTCTGAAAAAAGATAATAATTTTATTAAAAGAGTATTATAATGAGATATATACTTAAAGCTACTTTATGAAGAAAGAACAAAAAGACTAAATTCAACAACTTTACCAATAAGAGTAGAAAAAGTGACTTTATTATTTCTTTAACGTTTTAATAATTTTTACCAGCCTAATATGGTATCTTTACGAAGGAACTTTCACTTTGCAACAGGATCAGCTGAAAGTGCCATGAATATATCTATAATCATAATTACGTTTCCTAGAATGGTATACACAGTTAGAAGAATTTGTTTTACCAATTGCATCTTCCTAATTTGAAACAAATTGTTGTTTGATGAAAAATTAAATCAGTATTGAACTTTTAAAAAATACTTGACAAACTTTATTACATGACTCTTTTGGTTAGATCTAAATGAAGGGAAAACTCAAAAACTCAATGGTTCTAAGGCTGGCTGATAGTTCCAAGGCTAGCTGGTATTTTAAACTCTCTGGCAACTCTCAGAAAAGCAGATAAAACAGCTGTAAAATATCAGAGTATTAGCAGTGCCATGTTGTGAATTGATGGTTTCACTGTTGCACATTGATGGTATCCCTGCTATGGTGTCTAGTGTTAAGACCATATAAGGAGTCCTTTGTTATAACTTTAGAATGATTAACAGGACTAAGGCAACTACATAAACTATTTCTTAGGATGCCATATACTCAATTTATGTCAAGTCAAGTACATAACCTGGACATATATGTACATATCAACTCACCTATTTGTTTGGTCTTTGAAATACCTTTTTATCTGTTGAATTACCTTTGCTTTCCCTTTATCTATCTGCCCATATTTTATTATAGGTGACTTTAATGCTTATCCCACTAAATGAATTGGTTCAGGTACCACTGACCCAGCTGGCACTGAAAATCAACATATTTTTTTTTTTTTGATTTCTTACTCAGATAATTAATGTGACACCCCTAAACCCCAATTTCCAGACACCCTTAAACATTTATATATATATATATATATATATATATATATATATATATATATATATATATATATATATATAAAATATATATATATATATATATATATATATATATATATATACATAATATATATATATATATACATATATATATCTATATATACAATATATATATACATATATATACATATATATATATATATATATATATATATATATATATATATATATATATATATATATATATACATATATATATATATATATATATATACATATATATATATACATATATATATATATATATATATATATATATATATATATATATATATATATATATATATATATATATATATATATATATATATATATATATATATATATATATATACATATATATATATATATATATATACATATATATATATACATATATATATATATATATATATATATATATATATATATATATATATATATATATATATATATATATATATATATATATATATATATATATATATGTTGACCTCTATCTCATAATTACTTTTTTATCTGAACCTAATGGTAAATTTTGCTGTTTCTGAGTTTAATGTCAGATGGGAAAAATATACTTTATTAAAATATACTTTATTAGTTTGTATTTTTCATTTACTTAAAGAAATTTTTAGAAACATTAATATCTTTTCACCTGTGTAAAAGCGATCACACTCTTTACTGTTATCGCAATCTTTAGTGTTTCAGGGAGACATTTTTTTTTTATGATAATGTACTCAAAACCTTTTAGATTTATTTTTTTGGAAACTTTTGGATGTTTTGCATTCATAAGATGTTGTCATTTGTTTTACCAGATAAGAAAAATATACTTTATTAAAAAAAAAAAAAAATTAAACTGTCTTGATATTTTTATTTTGGAGAAGTTAAGAAGTAATTAAATGTTTTAAAATACTTTACAACTCTATTTTAAGTAGAGACAGCAAAGCTTCTTTTGCTGGCAACGCAAAAAAAGTTTAAAATAATTTTTTGTTACTTTTAAATGCAGATTTCTGTTTGAGTATAAGTATAGCAAAAAAAGAACTTGTATCTACAGTTTTGCTGTTAAAATTTTTGTGTTATTTTTATAAATTGGTTTTAATATTTTAGTCAATTTCAGAAATTTCATATAAACTTTTTACTTCCATTTTATGGTTTCTGCAATAACGAAAACTTTCTGAAAGTACTAAAATTTTTCTTTTTATTAATTACAAAAAAGCATTTGACAAAACCTTTTGTACTTCTTTAGAAAAGAAACTTTTGAAAGAGGTACAAAGGCTTTTGTCAAACTAACTTCTTTCGAAAAGAAATTTTCAATATTTGAAATAGTTAATTTAAATGAATTAAAATTGCGTAACCATTTAAAAAAAAGAAAGAAAAAAAAGTTTATAATTCTATTTTCTGAAAAATTCAGTTGTAGAAAATAGAGTTGCTTACAAACAAATGTTGCTTTTTTAAAATTTTTTATACTTTTATAACAAATCAATTGCAAAAAACATCTGGCAATTTACAAAAACTAAAAAGAGTTTTTAAGTGAACTCCTGGAACTCAAGAAATTCTCAGAGGAAAAACCATCAATATTTTTACAAAAACTCCCAAATTTACTTTAAGGAGTTTTTTAGAAAACCTTGATGATAGAGCAAAACCAACAGTACCCACTAAAACAGTACCAAAATTATGTAAGAAATAAGAAAAACTTAACATAAACGAAAATTTTGTTACATGGCGTTATTTGATATATACCTTTACAATTCACTGTTGATAAAATTAAAATAATTTTTTTAGATTGTACAGCCTTAAATTATTTACATAAATTCAGAATCATAATTTTATACAACTTAATAATTTTAATAATTGTTGAAATAGATAATAAATTCAAAACTTAAAATTTTTAAAAATATTATAAAGAATGATTTAATAAAAAAATTACGCAAATGATATCTGGATAAAAAAACATACCTTCTAATGTTAAATAAATTTTCACTTGAGTGTAGTTTTCAGGGCAAAATAAGGAATATTTCCAAGAGACTAAAATAGAATTACTGTCATTAACTCCATAAACTGCGGTAACATTCTCAGCGCCACTCACTTTTTTATTGAAAATATTTGCACTAATTGAAATAGAAACAATATCAGTTGTTATATTTTTGGGATATATTGCTGAGCATTGAATCAAAAAAGAACCTCCATTGCATAATCTGCAAAATTTATTCTGCAAAATATCAAATTGAAGTTTTTGGTATTCTTTAAAACCTGTAAGATTTGAGGTTATTTCCAATACTTGAAAGGGTACTAAAATACCATGAAGCAAACAAACTATATTTGCTCCAGGCTGCAAAGATGCAATAACAGAAAAAGCATCTTCATTAGTATCCTTTAATAATTCAAAATATGGTGCATGATAATTGGCACATATTGTAAAAGATATATTAGAACATATCATACCAAATGAAGTATTATTTCTTTCGAATTTAAAAACAAAATTAGATGCAAACAAATTAATAAATATTGGTTCTCCTGCGGTCAAACTAGTTATTAAAGGAAACCATATTTCATTGTCATAGCTGTAAAAGATATTTTTAACTTTATATGAGTCAAATAAAAATCTAGCAGAATGTAGAAAAGATGGATTTTTAATCGATATGGATAAATTTAGATCAGTTGATTTTCCACTCAGACATAAATACCTTGTACTTGAATTTCCTGAAATAAAATTAAAAAAATCATCATTTACATTTCAGGAAACAAAAATAAACTTGAATCCTAGTCTACTTTATTTATATATTAATTTATTGAATTTGAAACTGATATCATACCAACAAAGTTTTAATGGTGAGCAGATCAAAAGTAAGATCTGCTCAGGCTAAACTCATACCTCTAGCATTAAAAAACGCATTTTTAAACATCAATGTTTATAGACGCATTCTCGCATCAGGGCTCTACAAACATTCAAAATTTTGAATCAAACCAAAGAAGTGATTATGATTGAAATCATAAAATGCCATGTATTGGATTCTGACTAATTTCATAAAAACATTTATCTTAAAGTATTTTATTTAGTAAATGACATTTTTAAAAAAGTCTCTAATTAAAAAGGGGGAATTAGACAATTTATTTAAACATTTTATGATTTCTGCAAAAATCAATGTCACATAAATTAATTTTAATGTCTTTATGTAATGAATACTATTCTGCACTAAATTATAAACTATGGTCTTATAATAAACAGTTACCCTAAATCTCCGAACAAATACATTCAGGTGTGTGACACTTTTTTAAAAACCTTTTTAAGATTAGGGATTTGATTCGCAAAAATACAGGTGACATGATTTTAGATTCAATTCAATGTTAAAACTTCTGATTTACAGGGGACTAATAATATGTGTTACAAGGTATGACAGTCAAATATAATCTATAATGACAAAAATACAAAATAACAGGTGTTACATTAATTAAGACTCGTCAGAAACAAATTTCTGATGAGTCTCTAATTGAAAATTTTAGCTAATGGTTGCATTTTATAATAAAGAATTCTTTAATGTTGTGTTAAAAAATGAAGAATTGAAGTACAAATTTTTTTGAACGAGGGAGCAAAATATGTTTAAAAGAAAAAAAAATTAACAGGAAATACAAAAATGAAAAGGATTGGAATTAACAAATATTATTGAAATATTGAAGTTAAAGTTTTAAAAAATAATTTTTTTTTAATTATAAAAATGAAATATTGGAGTAATATTATATTGAAATATTACAAAAGTACTGTTGAACAAGTCTTGTTTATTTATCATTATTTTTTTCTCCATATTATAATCAATAAAATCTATTTTGTTCTTATCTGATTCTTTACTTGATGATAAAATATGTTTGGGTTGTTGACAAAGCTATATATCTGGTTCAACAACTTTTCCTTTACTGCAATTTGGATTATAGTTAATTTCACAAAAACTATTTTAATTAAGTTGATTTTACAAAAGCTATGTTAATTTTTTGAATAACACTTCAAATAAACATATTATTAATAGAGACAAGTTGTTCATTTAACATTGATTGTTATTAGTTGAAAGTAAGTAAGGTTGTCTAGAAAATGAGTCACAAGTTAAATGTCAAAGTGAGATATTATGAAAAAAGCAGGCCAAGATGGAGTCAAGCCATTGAGTGTGATGTGCATTAAAATTACCAACAACAACAATATTGGCTGATGAATAAAAAGAAAGGGCTCCGTCAATTTGATGAGAAACAACATAGAAAAGAGTGCAGTAAAACGAAGGAGAATGATAAAGAACATAGAGAAAGGTGATTGATTGACAAGATGCTAAATAGAAACTCATAAAAGAATGATCGAAGGATTCAAATGTGATTTTATGACAATTAGGTGAATTAATACATAAGTATATGCCTAGACCAAGAATGTGAGTCTTTGTGAATTGTGAAGATGAAACAGCCAAGTCCAAATTAATTTCACAAAGAGCAAAAAAGCCAAATGAGTTTTGCTTTAGGTAAGATTTAACTGATGGAAAGTTACTTCAAAGATCACAAACTTTTGTAATAACTTTTCTGTTTTATTAGAAAACCTGACTCAATAAAAAATAGAGCATGAAACTTCAAACAATGACCTATGAGTTGCCTCAGTCTTGCTAATTAACTAAAAGTCATAATTTTATGCGGTCTTGATAATGGATACCAAAAAGACAAATAGAGACACCATCTGTTTGCAACATGGTGCTGTTAATAGTTTATAGCTATTGAATAAACCAGCCTCTCTGAGAGTTTTAACAAAATTCAGAAAATCTTACCAGCAGATGGCCTCAGAATTATTATTGACTAGAGTTGCATGGTTACTAATAAGGAATTAAAAACAAAAACTCATGAGTGGAATCAAGAAAACGAGTCAAGCAAATCTAGAAATTAGAAAAAGCTAATTTAGCCCAAGGTAACAAAACAAAAAAAAGGTAATGATTTTTAAATCAAAAAATGATTACAAAAGATTTTGAATTCTGTAAACTTATTTTATTTTTCGATTCAGCACCTTCATAAATAGTCAGGTACCAATAATCAACCATTTTCTATATCTATAACTTAAATCATTTATTAAAAGGTACTATTACAAAACCTATAATGAGCTGTGATTAAAAAAATTGGGTATTTTAGACTACATTTCAAAGCCTTATAACTATTTGTATTGAATAGCTTAAGTTTTATCTCTTTTGTTTGTTTGCTTTATTGGTATTTAGTTTCATAGGTACCACTGGTTAAAATAAAAAAATGAGTATCTAACACTTTTTTGTAATATTAAATTCAAATTAGAGCAGTTTAGTTTGATTGGTCTTAATTTAACTTAAATATTTTGCTTTTAGTAGATCTCTCATACTAAATATTAAGAACATACATTTGAATTTTAAATTAAGTTTGAAAACTTACTGTCTTCAACATTTGCATGATAGTTTTCATCGTTTGAACTAACATTCATAAACCAGCTTGATAACTCCAAGTTTGTATAACTGCACCCGTAAGTAACTTTTGTGTAGAAAAAAATACAGAACAGAGACATAAGATACCACTTCCATCTCATTTTTTTAAATTTAAAATTTTACTTAAATGCATTTACACGCAAGTTTCCAACACTATATTTCTTTAAAATGTACACAAGTTTTTTGGACGAAAGCATATTTAATTATATCGAATAAGCAAAAAAAATTGTATTTGTGTCTTGATAATTTACAATATGGTACTTTGAATGGACAAATAATAATTTGACTTGAATTTTTGGCTCAATTTTTAATTTTTCAATTTCAGCCAATAAACTGGGCAAAATTTTTTGCGTCTCCAAAAAGTGTTGACAATAATAAAATTAAGATCATTTAACTCAACGTAAAAAAATGAATTGAATACGCCGTAAATCCTAGAAGAGACATCCGACAGTAATGTCGGACCACTGTTAGCAAAAATGCCGTGCTAACGTCCTTTTCACGATTGCAGATCGTACTTTTTTTCTTATTTCGTTATTTATTTTAGGTGCTCCTAAATTAAATAACGTTCCTGATAAGTTTTTCAAATGCTCTTCTGCGGTCCTATCAGGACTGCAGAAGAGCATTTGAAAAAGCATTTGAAAGGAAGTTCGCGCCTTCTTACTGATGTTACATGTTTTTTTTTTGTATTTTTTTGTGTATTTGTTATGTGTTTTTTTTTTTTTTCTTTTTTGATTTTTAGATCATTTAAATTAAAAAAACGTTTTACATGTTATTTTGAAATCCCCAACGAGGGTGTGGGGAAAGGTCTACATGGGCTGTGAATTCCAGATTTTTTTTTTAAAATCAAAATTTCAAGAATTTTTTTTTGAAATAACCAAGAAAAGTTCGCCTTTTAAATTTTTTTTTGTTCTGATAAAACTTTGTTCTTGATTATAGTGTCTACTATAATCAAGTCATCAATATTGTTTGTTTGTTTGGTTTATTCAAGATCAACAAAATTTACAAATAATTGACAGAGAGCGGCCACCAGGCCACTCTGTAATGAAAATATAGTTTTTATATTTCAGATAAAATAAAGACGCCAAAAGCAAAGAAATTTAAAATTGTTCAGGTTTTTCGAGTCAATCGCATTTTGGGTAGAAACATTCCATGGTTTGACAACATGATTAGTTAGAAAGTTGTTTTTTTCAGCACAGTTTCGTACAAGTTGTGCTTTTGTTGTTTTGTGTGTCCATGTGGTCGGAGTACTTTAAAGACATGGTGTTTAGTTGAAGCTGAGGGACTGAGAAGTTTGAACTTTGTCGATTTAGCTGATGATTTTGTATTGCCTAATAAGATCTACTCATTGTTGTTGTTTGGTTAACTTTGTTAAGTTAATTTGTTTCTAAATATAAGGCAAGTATTTGAAGTAGGCAGTATGTTTTGTGGTTCGGTTTTAAACTTGTTGGAGTTTGGCTATGTCTTGAGCTGGAAATGGTGGCTTGTACTGCGAATTCTAAATGCGTGCGACCGTATGAAGTATACAGAATACGCTATAATGCTGAAATTTGACTTCGAAAAGCCAAGCATTTGTTTGCCAGCTGATGCAGCTGATGCAAAAGGTTAAGAAAACAGTCTTTGCTTGTATTTTAAAACTTTAAATTGTTAGTCATAACAACACCTAGGTCTTGTTTAAATGTTGTGCATGACAGCTGATGCAGCTAGCATGCCAAGTTATTCATAGTGTAAATTGAAGTAAATGTTTTGTTATTATTGCGCCCAGGTGCATTATAAAACACAAGTCAATTTTTTTATCTTTAGTTTTTCGAGACCCCTAATTTTGTGGGACCCCTGTACTATGGCACACCAAGCTTTTGTCTAAACTCGGACATGTATTTAAAATAAAAATCTTTTTTGCTTATAATTGTGGATTAAAGATTGTCTAATACGACATTAGTCGTAGAACTATTGTCGTAGTAGTACCGTATTACGATGCGATGAAATTTAACGAGCAGTATTGGACAGTGTTTGAGCATATGAACAATATATTAATATGAATAACAATACAACAAGGTCAAAAATACATACTACAGACTAATAAAATTGAATCTTCAAAATCTACCTTGTGGTTGTCCGTTAATAATGTTAATAATTTTTTGACAATTTTTACACCCCTTCCATCCCGCTTGTCAAAATTCCAAAGCCCGCTTCCCCCCTCAGCTATTAAATTATGTCAACATTTAACTACTCTTCTTCCCCTTTCCCCTCCCTAAACTTATTAAGAAATTTAAACGACAGAAAACCTTTTTTTTTAATAATTTAATTTGTTTTATAAAGTAACATTATTGGCGTCAACTTTTCTTGATTTCCCCCCTTCCCTTTGTCAACTATTGTTAAAAACTTTCAGACTTCTTCTCGCTATTTTATTAAAATAACAAACGGACATACCTTAACTATGTTTTAAATTTAATACAGTAGTATTTTAAAAAAGTAACTTTACAAAACACAATTTTTCTTATATTTTGTTGTGTTTTTTTTAACATTGACGTGTAAATGGTTATAGCTAATATATAAGGTAACACGCATTATATTGAACAAAAAAACGTGTACATTTTACAGTCTATTTGAGATGTAACTGTTTCAAGGTTCATTAACATCTAAAATTTTAAGAGAACTAAAAAAACAAACAAAAAAAACACATAAAAAACATGTTTTTTATGTGTTTTTTTTGTTTTTGGTGCCTTGTTTTTTTTGCAAAAAAAAACAAGGCACCAAAAACCAACGCGTTTTTAAAAAAAAACGAGTTGTTTTTTTTTTGAGTCGCAACTCTAAGCGTAACGGCTGCTATTTATATCTGACGGTTTACAGAACAATGGCCGTAAAATGCTAAATTTTTCAACAGCGGTCCGTTGGCGGCAGCCTGATGCATCACACTCCGATGAAAGCTTGTTTGCTCGAGGTAGTCCGTGTACTTCATGAAAAAGTAAACTTTAAAACTGGGAAATACTTGTATACTCTTATATAGCACAAAGAGCAATTTTTCAAATAAAATTTGACAAATAGAAAAACTGAAAACTTGTTAATACAAAACTGATACAAAGCTATCAGTATTTGATCTTAACGCTTTTTAGAGATTTATTGATCACAATGTAAATTTTAGGAGCTATGCCTATAATCACAGCCAAAGCAACAAAAGCGCTCCCGGGGCCAATGGTTTTTTGCGCTTGCTATCGATAAGACCCCTACCGCGTAAAGAAAAACAAGTTTTAACCCCTTTTATCAAAAACCACCATTTTCTACTTATAGTATTTACTGCATACGATTTTCTATCGTGCAATTGTACATCACTTTACTGCATACGATTTTCTATCGTGCAATTGCACATCACTTTTCTATCACTAGCTCTTAAAGATCTTTGCACAAAATTGCTTTTACATTCATTTCAAAATAAAAATTGCTGCAAATCGTTAATGTATGTACAGTTGATGGATATACTTGTAAAACTCGGGATTATAGACTTTAGTAAAATTATCATACTCTTGTGGATACCGAAACTAAGAATTATACTTAAAAGAGAGTTTTTTTACTAGTCTTAAATCCCGACAATGGTAATTTAGTGACGACACGCCATTGGAGACCAATTTTTTAAAGCTAAACAAAAGAAATCTGTTACGTTGCAATGACATTATTTTTGTTTTACTTTTATGAATTTGTATATTACCGCTGTGATAGATTTCTCCCAATGCCGTAGCCGATTTCTTCACCAAGCGATAATTTCCGTAAACGCAATAGCAATATTTAAGACTAATATTTTTTTTTTTAAGTGCATAATTAAATTTGCTTTATTGAAAAAAAAAAAACTTTAAATTTTAATAAAATTAAAAACTTATAATTAGTTGAATTATTATCCACTTTCCCTATTTTGTATAAATGCAGTAATTTGCTCCCTTGATTTGGCTTTGCTATCATTTGAAAAAAATTTAAACCTACGTGCAAAAATCAATTACGACTTAAAAAAATAATTACTAAACAGAACAGCATAATATCAAAATTATCTAATAATCAATATATAGTACAAAATAAATATTTTATTTCAACGGCTGCTTGTGTTAAATTGAGCGAAAAAATCAGGAGTTGGTTGATTTGTATAAACCACCTCATTCATGTACTTCAGTCTAAATGCAATAAGTTTAATAATTTAAAATATTAAAATAAAGAAAATAAAATTTAAATTAAAAAAAGGGACTCAATCATTAATCAACAGGAAATAAATCAACAGGACTAAATCAACAGGAAATAAATTAAATGAAAACTACATGAATTTGATATATGATCAAACACTATTTTGATAAAATAGAAAAACAACGGGGAAAAGATTTGTATAAATAAAAATATCTTACCTCGACTTTTGAGAGGCTGCCAATTGACAGTTTTCTTCAGCAAGCTTTTTATAAAAGTCTTTTTTTTTTCTTTCTTGCATTTGCTCCATAATCATAGCTGCTTTTGCCCTTTTTAAAATTTGTTGATTCCATTCGTCTTCTTCTTGAGCACTCTGCTTCATCAATTGCTTTAGAAATAATTAAACCTTATTTACTGTTCAAGGCAAAATTCAAAGAAAAAGAATTAGATAAAAAAACAATATTAAAAGTATGATTACCAACTTCTCCTCCAATTGCTTTTCTTGTTCCATTTTAATTATACTAATTTCATTTGGACTCATTCCTTTCCAGCGATCAGTAATAACACGATGAGAACCGTATGCACTTTTTGAAACGTCAGGGTTTTCAGTTAAAAAATCACCAAAAACCTGGCTTTTTATTTCGTTTAAGTTATTTTCAAGCTCATTTTTTTTAAGACATTCGTTCCTATGTTTTTGCGCCTCAGCAAGAGCTAAATTATAATTTTTAACAGCTAAGTTGATTGCTTTTCTTGATTCTTGTTCTGCTATAGACAGGTCAGTTGAACGCTGATCGTTTTCAATTGCTTTGAGATCAAGAAGATGGAGTGTTTGCTGAAGACTCTCAACATCTTCTTTCTTTTTTATTACTTGTTGATTGATCCACTCTCTATAAAATATAACCAATTCTTCATTAAAAAAAAAAAAAAATAGAACAAGTACTTTGATTTAAAAAAAAATAATAACAATAAATAACCGATTTTGTTCTTGCTGAAACTTTTTTCTTGATTTCTCATCTAAATCTTCGCCTGTAAATTTCTGCATGCTGGAAACACCACATCGAGAATCATCATCTGATACTCGAGCCGGTTTGTCTTTTTTTTTACTATTTGGATCATAAATATCAAACTCTCGCCTATTTTCAGGAGACTGAAAAGTCTTTCGAAATTCATTTATGGATTTATTTATTTCTCTAATATCATTTTCTTGACGCTTTTGTAACAGCAGACAAAGCTTTTCATTTCTGAGCATTTCGTTGGCTGTAAGAGAAAAAAAGTCTTGGAGAAATTTCTGGTTTTAGACTTTTAACTTTATGAAAATAAGAAATATTTGAGATCAAATATTAAGTATAATATTTAATCTCAAGTTTTCAATAAATCAAATATTAAAGATTTTGCTTGAATAGCACTTAACCAAGACTTGTAAATACCACAGTTGTACACTTGTAAATATCCCTTTATGGTATTTTTTTACTTAAATATTTATTTTAAATAATGCAAGCAAGAAAGCCAAAGATGTATACAAATGTATACATCTCTTTTTTTCTTTTGTTACAACCCTCTGTCAAACCTTTAACTTCAAAACACAAACCTTGACCAATAAGACCACTACAAAGAAACACAACTTGACTGCAAATCTATCGAAAACAAAGTGGGACTTAATGATAATAATAATGATAAACATCACTACATCATGATAACATGAAACATCATAGTGAGCATGTCAATAACAAATGTTCAAGTAAAAAATAAATTTAGCAACGTAAACAGGAATAATTTGTTCTATGGTTGATTTATCTGTTTCTTAAGAATGAAAGGAAGAGTGTGATCATTAGATTTAAGAGATAAATAAAAAAAAACTTTGCAAACAGTTCTATCTTATACTTGAGGGAAATTCTAAGATCAGACCCATGTAAAGGAGATGGAATGTTAAACTTGCTTATGTTAATGACGCCAGGGGCTATTCTAGACCTTTTTTGATAGCTTCGACTGTATTTAGGTGCCAATATGGATGCCTCCCAAATTAAATTTTTTTTTTTTTTTACCTATTTTTACGTTTTTTTTACATTTTTACTGCAAATATTGTTTTTTTTTTTGCAAAAAAACCGCTGATTTTCTGCTAAAATTTGCCGGAATGAGGGGGTTCCGCCGCCCAAATTTTTTCATAGAATAGGCCCTAGACGCTATGAAAGATTTTCAAAAAATTTTGAAAACCTAACTTTTGAAATAAAAATGGGGTTTAGTAATCTAAGAATGGACCTTAGAGTCAGACCTTTTTGCAATGAGTATTTACAACAATAAAAATATGCATTTTCTCTAAAGAGTTGCAGAAGAGA